ACAAGTCTTTTTTTCTTTATTTGTAGAGAAAATTAAAGAAATTGACCAATTTTAAGAGGAAAATAAAAAAATCTAAATCTTTCAAAATTAAAGAAATAGATTAAATAATGAGTTAAATGACGATTAAGCCATTATTACATTTAGCAGCAACATAAACAAATCGTCCTTCATGTCCAACCAATTTCGGATCATTAGAATTTCGGGTCTCCATACTTTTTTGTTTGTTTGTTTTGGATCTCCATACTTGTATAAGATTGAAATACGACTCTTGTGTACAAACTTATTTTCATTATCTTTTATATGATTAATATTGTCCACTTTTCTTTGTCTTTGAAGATTCCACCTTAAATTATTACTCCTTCCATTTCAAAATTTAAGTTGTTTTGGCTAAAAATGCAAATATTAATAAACTAGTACTTTTCTCCTAAAAAATATCATTTTATATAACCAATGAAAAAAACGACTGCAAAATACTATTGGTCACACAATAATTAATAAAATTAAAAAATACCTCGAATTATCAAAACAACCTATATTTTGAAAGATAAAAAACCTCAAAAACAATTTATATTTTGAAAAGAAACGAGTATAATTTTTCCGAACACATCATTTAATTGACTTTTCCTTGGCCACTAGTCCAGAGATATAAAATGGGACAGTAGAGTTTAATACAAGAGAGTCATCTTCGTCCTTCCTCTATAAAATTTCTCTCTTCTAATTTTAGGAAAGATCAAAACTTTTTGGATTCCCAAAAATTGCATAAAAAATGGGTATTCTCGACGAAAAATGCTCCAAACCCACGAGATGACTCACTGGGTCCTCACGGCGTCTCTGCTGTAACCGTCGGTGTTTCAGTTCTCGCTCACGATCTCTTCAACTTCCACATCATTTCCTATTAATTATTATATATAAAATAATTTAATTTTGTTTATTTAAAGGACAAATTTAGCCTATTTTTCTAATTTCAAAAAGTATGGCCTATTATTTTAATTTTAAATGTTTTTAGCCTATTTTCATAATTTTCCCTTATTAGCACGAAAAACCTTAGCCACAGCAAAACCCTAATACGCGTTTCCTATATATACTCTCTGAAGTTGTCTCTGTTTTTCGTTTCCAGTCGAGCCGTTTGAGAAAAGACGTTGTCTCCGTCATAACTTCAGGCCTTACCAATCATAACGTATCGGTCGACGACATGGCATATCGATTTCTCCCATATTCGTTACCAATCCAGGTACCTCATCATTTAGAATCATGCGTATTATCAAGTCATGCTTTAAACGAAACGATCGTTTAAATATTGCTTCATTACCGATCATGTTTTTGGATATCGATTTACTTATTGATTTATTGGTTACGGTGAAGTTGCTTGTTTTTCCTTTTAAATGTTGATCGATTAGTTTTTTTAGTTCTAATAGAAAATTAAGTTAATGCACCACCTTGTGAATCTTAAGATATGTAGCCATGGCATAATTGCATAGTAATCATATATAAAACAGATTAATAGATTATTGACTTTTAGTTAATCTGATTTATTATTGCTTTATAGGTTCGGTAATCTAAAACAGATAACCATGCTTTTATTGTTTCATAGTTCGTTATGACTAACTCATGCCTATTGCTTTACGTTTCTGTACCACATCATGGTATGTAATTTGTTACGATCTCAATTGGCTATTTTGTTTTATTGATTTATCATAGTCTTGGTTTATCATGATTTATTAGATATATCGTCATTTGCC